CTTGTCTGTGTATCCTGCATAATGTGTGTTAACAGCTTAGAAGCAAGATTGTAAAACATCTGTAGAGAACTTCTGCCCTCCGGGGTTATCCCATTGTGCTGTAAGCCTGTATTTAATAAACATCCCTCCTTCAATACATGGCATTTGGCAATACATAAATTAATAAACAAATAAATGCATAAATAAATAAATAAAATAAAATAAAACTCAATATATGTTGAAAATCGTAACAGTAGAATTTATCACAGTAATCACAGGCACACTGTGGTAAAATGTTTAAACAGAAGAGACAATATGATGTAGCCTAATAATTGAATGTTATAAAGTTTTCTTCTGACTTAAAAAGTAGAATGAGGGTTGGAGAGATGGCTCAGAGGTTAAGAGCACTGTCTGATCTTTCAGAGGATGTGAGTTCAATTCCCAGCACCCACGTGGTGGGTAACAAGCATTTGTAATGTGATCTGGTGCCCTCTTTAGGCCTGCAGGCATACATGCAGGAGAAACATTGTACCCATAATAAATAAGTACATCTTTCTCTTTTTTTTTTTTAATGAAATGAGTATGGACAAGAGAGCTCAGTCCCTAGTCCTGACACCTGAGTTTGATCTGTGGAACCCACGATGTAGACATGAGAATTGATTTCTGAATGTTGTCTTCTGGTCTCCACAAAGATATCATGAACAAAATATAAATAAACAAAAAAAATAAAAAAATAATCAAGAAACTACAGTTAGAATCTCTGTGTGAGTATCTAGGTGTTCAAATGAGAAGAACAATCATACACTCTTAATGTTATCAAAGCATAAGAGCCAGACCCAGGGGCACAGACCTACAGTCCCAGATACTTGGGAAGCTGCCTCAGGAGAACTGCCAGTTCAAGGACAGCCTGGGCTACAGAATGACTTTGAGCTCCAGCAGGGGTATGCGACCAGAAATTTTCATTTGAAAAAAAGGGGATGGAGATAAGAAGTTTCTATGAGTAGGACCCCTCTTTCCACTTTTACTAGGAGCAGGTCCCTGATTCAATCTCCAGTCTTGAGGAGACAAAGAAAAAGAGGAGAGAGAACAGCCAAGGAATAAATCAATGTGAGATAACAGCTGGAGGTCAATGAAGGCAAATCTCTTGTATGCGTGGAGTTGAACCTTAAGTTCTCAACCTTGCTCTGGGGAGTGCACCCTAAGCCTCAGAGACACCCCAGTCCAAGAAGATTACATTGAACTTTTTCAATTACATGTGATCACAAATGAGGCTTTTGGAGCCACAGGTGGGTCAAAATGGACAAGTTGCAGTTTTTTCTTCTACAAATGCTTTAACTGGTCAGACCTTCTGGGATACACAGCAAAGAAATTAGTGGCTTTTGAGAAAAACATTTTATGCAATATATTTTAATCACCTTTTCATTGGGTCTACTTTAATCCTAAGCCTCAAAATGGAGGAAGTGTAGGAGCTTTTTAACTTCCTGGTTACCCTTGTCCCTGTAACGCTTTCCAGAACAGCTGGAACTACACAAAAAATAAAATGTCCCTAATACTCAATGTGCATTTATGTGTATATATTCTTTCCACTCCCCTCGCTCTTCTCCACATTGTGGCCATGCAACTTCAGGTTTTTTTTGTCTTTCATAAACATAGATAAATTGCAAGTACATAAATAAATGTCACACATACTCACATATACAAAATAATGTAATGTCCATTTAAGCCAACTATTTATGGCCTCAACATGGGGCCTACAATAGACTGTGATTGTTTACCCAGTTGTTTTTTGTTTTGTTTTGTTTTGTTTTGTTTTTTGAGACGGGTTTCTCTGTGTAGCTTTGTGCCTTTCCTGGAATTCACTTGGTAGCCAAGGCTGGCCTTGAACTCACAGAAATCAGCCTGGCTCTGCCTCCCGAGGGATTAAAGGCATGTGCAATCAAAGCTCAGCATTGACACAGTTTTAACATACTGTAAGGGCTGTGTAGTGGTGGTGCACTGCTTTAATCCCAGCCCTGCACTGTCAGAGATAGGCAGATCTGAGTTCAAGGCCTGCCTATTTTACAGAGTGAGTTCCAGGACACTCACGGACACACAAAGAAACTCTGTCTCAGGCGGGAGAATCATTTGGGCTGTTAAGATGACTAGCTAGTCGGGGGGTGGTGGTGCACCCCTTTAATCCCAGCACTCTGGAGGTAGAGACAGGGGGATCTCTGTGACTTGGAGGACAGCCTGGGCTAGAGACTGAGTTCCAGAAAAGGTTCCAAAGCTACAAGGAAACCCTGTCTCAAAAAAGAAGGGGAATAAAAAAGCCAGGCTGTGGTGCTTGCTTTTTTAATCCTAGTACTCGGGAGACAGAGGCAGGTAGATCTCTGTGGAAAGGCTCCAAATTTACAGAAAAACCCTGTTTTGAAAAAACAAAACAAAAAACAAGCAATAACAACAAGAACAAAAAACATAAGGAACCTCAATAAAAGTCCTGTTTCACAAAATTGGACTTTGGTGGTATCTGTGCTTTTTTCTGTCCCTGGTTCTCTGTCTCAGGTGAGTAAACATTTGTTTGTTGGATCTCTACTGGAAAAAGTTTGTCACAGAGCAAGATCTGCCAGTGGGGTAATATTTAGAATATACAATGAAATATTTTTAAATGAACTGCAAGAACAAGCATCCCTAAAAGGCCATGGTGTCACACACCTTTAATCTTAGCACTAGGGTCACAGAGGCAGGTGGATCCCTAAATTCTGGGCCAGCCTGGTCTACCTAAATAGAGTTCCAGGAAAGCTGGGGATACAAAAAGAAACCTGTTTCAAATGAATAAAATAAAGAAAACAAGTAGATTTTCTTTTTAAAATTTAAAAAATGGATTATAGAACTAAAGAGAAAGTCTCAAAAGAAAGAACACAGATGCCAGAGCAGCTATTTTGGATGCTGTTAAACAGGCTGGGTATGGTGGATTACTCCTTTAATCCCAGCATTCAGGAGACAGAGACAGGAGGATCCTTGTGAAGGTTACCTCATCCTGTTCTATACAAAGATCTGCAGGACAGTTAGGTCCATTTGTAGTGAGACCTTGTCTCAAAAACAAACAAAAAACCAAAAAAAGGAACAAAACAAATGAACAAAACCAACAGGCTGGAAAGTAGTGGCTCACACCTCTAATCCCAGCACTCATCAGGCAGAAGCAGTCAGATCTCTGAATTCAAATCCATTCAGGTCTACCTGGTTTAGAAGATAGCCAAGGCTATACACAGAGATGCCATCTCAAAATTATGTATATATCATATTTAGCAATAAGGTCAATGTAAATTAAAACTACTCTGAGATATTCTTAGCTAATCAGAGTGGTCAAGATATATAAAAAAGGACACCTTATACTGTGGAAGATGTGGGCAAGAGGAAAACTCATTTCTTGCTGATGGGAGTGCAAACTGATGCAGCCCCTATAGAAACAACATGGATATTCCTCAAAAGCTGACAAAACAGGGCTTGGTTTGCAGGTCTGCAATGCCAGCTAGTCAGGCCTGAGGTAGCCAGGCTGCATTTCAGAGCTGTCTGGGCAAGTTAGTGGTACCCTATATCAAAATTAAATTAGAATAGGAGAGTGGCCACTCTTCTAATAAAGGAGTTTGCCACAAAGTCTGGCGACCTGTGGGAGAAAAAAAACCCAGCTCCTATGAGTATTCCTCTGACATCTAGACCCTTGTAGTGAGCTGTGAGTGCTGGCAAATACACAAACACATATTAAAGAAGGCTGGGATATACTTCCATGGTATGTGTGTCATAGCATACACTGAGTATTGCTTTATATTATGTGATTACATGTTGTGCTGATATATAAGTACATCGTATTATTGTCTTTTTATAGCTCTTTTGGGGGTCCTGCCACCCAGTTCCCAAAAAAGTAACACATGAAGGCATATACTTAATTATGAATACCTGGTCTTAGTTCCACTTGTTTCTTGCCAGCTATCATTAACTTAAATTATCCTGTCTACTTTTGCCTCTGGGCTTTTCCCATTCTCTTACTACTATAAATCTTACTCTTACTCTGTGGCTTGCTGTGTGGCTGTGTGGCTGTGTGGCTATATGGCTCTTTGGCTGTGTGGCTGGCCCCTTATGTCCTCCTCCTTCTCTGACTGAGGATGCTCTCTCATATTTTCCATTCTATTTATCCTCTCTGCCTGCCAGCTCCACCTATCCTTTCTCCTGCCTCATCATTGGATCTTCAGCTCTTTATTAGCCCATCAGCTGTTTTGAACAGTCAAAGTAACAAAGCTTCAGAGTTAAACAAATGCAACATAAACAAAAGCAACACCCCTTAAAATAATATTCTATAACACACCAGGTATATGGAGTGAGTGTCCCTGGAAGTAGATTTACCCCTTAGAGTGAGCTCCCATATGCTTGAACCCACAGTCACGTCCAATATATACTAAACTAAGGGAACATTTTATTCCCATGGACTCTGTAGAGTTGTGAGCTGTGACAGGGTTTCCCAAACATGATTTCAAACCATTATTACTCTATGGGTCTACAGAGAGAGAGCTCAGTGGTTAAGAGCACTTGTTGCTCTTGCATAGGACCTGGGTTCTGTTCCAAGCACCCACCTGTAGTTCTCAAATGTCTGTAGTTTTATTGCTAGAAATCCTCAGCCCTCTTCTGGCTTCCAGACCCCATACAGTGCATACATGTCTTCAAACGTACAAATGTTTTTGGAGAAAAAGTCATACAATAGCAATTCTGGCAAGAACGAATAATTTTAAAAAATGCTTACATAAAATATTTTATACTTTTATTTAACTAACATGTAAGACAATAATACTTAATATGTTAAAACATGTTTGAAACAATCTCAGTATGTGGACCACATTGGCCTGAAACTAATACAGAAGAGCCTGCATCAGTCTCCCAAATCCTGAGATTAAGGTCATGAACCATTACATTCTGCCTTGCTATGAAAATTTCTGGGCATGGACTGCTCCATTGTGAGAGGTATTATTTAGAGTCAGAATCTATCTTCAAGGCTATGAGCCCTCCCGTTGGCGCAGATCCTCATGTGTCATTTTCCAGAGCTGCTCAGAAGATGGATTTAAGTACTGAATATCATATGGGCTTCTGGCTGCAGCTGTGGTGGAAACTGAAGCTTCCAATGAGGCTGGACCATGAGACACTGTTGGGTCAGTCTGGACTTCAAATAATGTGGGTTTACCAGGATTGGGAGGTGCAGAAGGGGCTTGACCATCAAACAGGTCCTTTTGGGAACTACACCCGGCAGCTTCAACAGCCTGATCATTATGGAGAGAAGCTTCCATGCTGGGTTTGGGTTTGGGAATGGAGCCCACAGGAGATGTGCATGGAGACATGGACCTCACATTGGCAGAGACCCGTAAGTGACCATGGGAGTGGGTTGGCCCAGAAACATCTTGAGAGATTCCAGTTGATTCTGGGACTGCTTCTTTATCATTCCTGAGTTTCTTCTGTTTGCACCTTGCACGTTGGTTCTTGAACCATATCTGGAAGGACAAAAAAAAATTGTCAGAGGAAGACCTGTGTTCCCATGTGAAAATGTTGATTGGAAATCTTGTCTCTGTCAACTACCCCCATAAAAACAAAGGTCTGTGGCTCTAAAAAAAATGTAGGAAGGTAGGATAGTTTATGATTTGACATAAAAGGAAGGGAATCTGCAGCTAAAAGTATGGGGTTTCACAATGTTTCCTTATGTCTGGGTCACTTAGACCCTGCCAAGGTGATAATATAGCTCTGCAGTGGTACTCAGATTGAAGAATAACCAGAACCAGTTATGGATGCACATAGGTATACCTTCCAAAAGTGTCCAAGGTGCCCCAAGCATTGAGGAATCATGGAGAGTGGTTATTCTGAAAAATATACAGGTTCCATGGCTATTCTGGCTGCGGGAGAGAGATAAAAAGAGAAAGACAGACCTTTATCTCATACTCGGTCACACCAATCAGTAGTGCCAGCTTCACACGTTGCTCCTGTCCTGGGTTCCTCTCCTGAGCAAAATGCTGTTGGAGGATGAGCTTCTGTTCTGTGGAATACACGGTGCGTTCCTTTCGTTGCTTCCTCGGACCTTTAGGGCGAACTTGCTGGTCACCATATTTCTCTGAACCCACCATAGGGCCTAGGGAACCCTCACAACCAGAATTCAGTGAGGAACTTGATGGCATCTGGTGACTAGGATGCACTGATTGGGTTCCCAGTGTTGGGGGAAATGGATGCATTGGGAGACTTGGTTTCGTTGATGGTCCTGGAGACTCTTGGGGGCCTAGGCTCCTTTCAGGATCTGAGTGCCATTGGAGACTTGATTGCATTAGTGTTCCTGGAGGAAATAGTTGACTTTGAGACATTTGCAGACTTAACTTCCTTGCAGAATCTTGAGCCATCTGGAAACCTGTTTCCAAAGGTGATACGAATGTAGTTAGAAATCTGGATGTGAGGGGGGACTTGGGGAACATGGGGCCTTAAGTTTTTTGAATTGTCTGAATCTATTGGGAGACACCTATGCACTGGCGGACATGGAAGTATACTGGGATGTGATCCTACTAGAAGTAAGTTCAAGTACTGGAGAACCAGGAAGGAGGCAAATGGATCACACAAGGTCCACAGATCCCATATCTTACCATTAAGATTTTGGAGCATTTTTCCAAAGTTCTGTGGCGTAGGAATCACTTCAGCGCTTCAACCTTTCTCTCTACCTGAACCTCTTCCCATGTACAGGGTATATGGTAGACCTCATCCTCCAGACACACATACCAACTACAGAATGCTACCAAAGGCTCTTCCTCCCCTGTCACACTCTCTCTCCCACCATAATACCCCCTCCACATGCCCACCTTATACACACTCTATTCAGGCCACCAAATCACTGAGAAACAACTAGAATGTACACTTTGTCTGGACCCAGTGTCTGTTGGACTTTTACTCCAAAAACCTGGGCTTAAATATTTTCTCCAAATGAGAGAACAGCAACCTCTCTGTTGTTCAGGATGCCTGTGTCAGGGGAGAGGTTAGTTTACTGGCCAAGACCCAGGAAGCTTTCTTGACATCTTCAGTTGATAAAATTAGCTACTAAATCCAATGCAAATTTAACCAAGCAGGCCAAGTGAGGCTCTTTGACAGAGCATTTCTCTAGGTTTGTGTGAGATTGTGAGATCAAACCACAATACTGTGAAAATGGAAGAAAATACATAGGAACTAGATTGAAAAAATGTATTGCATGGCTTTTCTGTGTGTATTTGGTCTCCAGCCTGCCGGAGCCCACATCTCCAGGTTAGGAGATAACATTTTGAAAGTGGTTTTCTCCTTCCACCATGTGAACCATCGAAATAAAATTCAGGTCACTGGGATAGTTATCAAGACCTTTGACCACACCATCTTGCAAACTTCAGATCTCTGATTCTCAGAATTATGTCCCCAGGGAGAGCAGATACTGAGATTCTGTAGCTCAGGCTGATCTCAAACTCACTGTATGAATGAGAATGATTGTTAAGTACTCATCCCCCTGCGTATTAGTCAGGGTTCTCTAGAGACACAGAAGTTACTTAAAAAATACACATAAATATATGAATTTAATGGAATGACTTACCTTTCAACAATGGCTAAATATGAATGGAAAATACAAGAATCCACAAGCTGCTCAGTCCCAGAAGGCTTGGTGTCTTGGCTGATCTGTCAGATCTCAAAGAAGGAATGGATGGCCTGATGGAGGTGAAGGCAAGCAGGCAAAGATTACCCTTCCTTCTTCCCTTATATAGTACTCCAGCAGAAGGTGTGGCCCAGATTAAAGGTGTGCCTTCCAGCCTCAAGGTCTGGATTAAAGGAGTGTGTCATCCAGGCTCAAGATTGAATTAAAGACCAATTGCCTTCCTGCCTCAAGATCTGGATCACAAGTGTGCCCTCCATATCTGGATTATAGTTCATTCCAGATATAGTCAAGTTGACAACCAGGAGTAGCCATCACAACCTGATTTGAACATGCTGAGATTAGAGGCCCAGTTCCCTTGAGTGTGCCTTTACTAAGTTCTTTAGTTGCTACTAAGTAAGAGAAATTCTGTCCTAAGTAGATATTTGTTCTTCCTTTTGAAAACCTTGTTCTCTAGGAAGACATTTTATCCTGCTACTTAGATATCTGGGAAGACACTGGTTCTGTAGCTGCCCTTGAAATAAGCCAGAGAGCAGGAGAACTTGAACTTGCTGTGTGGCTCATAAACACCTGTAGAAGCTTGGATTACAGATTACCAGCATGGACCACCACACAGTAGACATGGAACAGAAGAGGGATTCTGTGGTGATATAGTGTGTCCCCTAATGTATAGTGTAACACTGAGAATAGGTAAGCACTCATTTCCAGATGGACATATCAGGCCTCTAGCCCCTAGACCCTACCCATCGGAATCCTAGAGACCAGCCAGTTACCTTTCTTTTCTCCAACACCAAAAAAAAAAAAAAAACCTCTCCACCAAATAAAAACAAAAAAAAAAAACTAACCCCTATGAACCTAACAACCACTGAAACCATAAGCACACCCTACACCAACTGGAAAGAACTGCTCCCAGAAACAGAACCCCCTAACTGATTTAACTAAGCTGTTTGTAAAGAAACTGAGCTCAACAGCACCAATTTAACCAAGAACTCCTAGTGAACCAAGACTAAAAATTAGAACAAGAGAGGCACCTTCAGACACAGACAAAGCCTGCACCAAGCAGAGGAAGAGATGAGTAAAATCCAGTGCAAGAATACAGGCAACAACATAAAGACCTATATGACAACATCAGAACCTAGTGGTTCTACACCTGCAATACCAGAACATACCAAGGCAGAAGAAACAGAAGAAAACAATCCAATCAATGAGTTTAAGAAGTTGATAGAGGCCCTTAAAGAATAAAAAAAAATTCCCTTAAAGAGGAAAAAAAATCCCCTAAAGAGGAAATGAAAAACTCCATTAAAGAGGAAATAAAAAATTCTCTTATAGAGGAAATGAAAAACTCCATTAAATAGGAAGTACAAAATTTTATTATAGAGGAAATAAAAAAAATTCCCTTAAAGCAATGTAAGAAAAAACAAAAAAAAAATTGGAAGAAATCAAAGAAAGCCAAGAAAAAATAATTAAACAGATGAAGGGAACATTCCAAGTTCTGAAAAATGAAATTGAGACAATAAAGAAAACTGAAGCTCAGGAAATGTTGGAAATAGAATCCTGACTAAACAAACAGGAACTATAGAATGCAAGACATGGAAAAGAATCTCTGACACTGAAGACACAATAGAGAAAATAGATTGGTCAGTCAAAGAAAACACTAGACAAAAAAGTCATAACACAAAACGTCCAAGAAATTTGGGACACCATGAAAACACCGAACCTAAGAATAATAGGGATAGAAGAAGGAGAAGAATACCAACTCAAAGGCACAGAAAATATAATCAACTAAAACATAGATGAAAACTTTTCTAACCTAAAGTAAGAAATAACTATGAAGATACAAGAAGCTTACAGAACACCAAATAAGCTGGATCCAAAAAAAAAAAAAAGGCCCCTTGGTACATAATAATCAAAAGACTAAACATACAGAACAAAGAAAAAATATTAAGAGCCACAAAGGAAAAAGACCAATTAACATTAAAAACAAACCCATTAGATTAACATCAGACTTCTCAATAGAGACTATGAAATCTAGAAGGTCATGTACGAATGTTATGCAGACACTATGAGACCACAGATGCCAACCCAGACTATTATACCCAGCAAAGCTCTCAATCACCATAGGCAGAGTAAATAAAATATTCCCTGACAAAACCAGATTTAGTCAATACCTGTCCACAACCCATCCCTACAAAAAGCACTAGAAAGAAAAATCCAATCCAAAGAAGCCAAATACACCCATGAAAACTCAGGCAACAGATAATCCCACACCAACAAACACCAAAGAAGGACAACACAACATGACCACAAAAAATAGCAAGAATCAACCATCACTGGTCATTAATATCCATCAATATCAATGGTCTCAATTCACCTGTAAAAAGACACAGACTAACAGAATGGATAAGAAAACAGGATCCATCCATCTGCTGCATACAAGAAACACACCTTCACTTCAAGGAAAGAAACTACCTCAGAGTAAAGGGCTGGGAAAAGGCTTCCCAAGCAAATGAACCAAAGAAACAAGGTGGTGTAGCTATCCTAATATCTAATAAAATAGACTTCAAACTAAAGTCAATCAAAAGAGTTCAGAATGGACTTTACATATTTAACATTGGAAAAATCCACTAAGAAGAAGTCTCAATTCTGAACATTTATGCCCCAAGTAAAAATGCACCCACATTCATAAAGGAAACATTACTAAAGCTTAATATGCACATCAAACCCCACACATTAGTAGTGGGAAAATTTCAAGACACCACTCTCACGGAAAGACAGATCTACCAGACTGAAACTTTACAAAGAAATAAAGGACCTAACAGATATTATGACTCCAATGGAGTTAATAGATATCTACAGAACATTCCATCCTAACACAAAAGAAGATACCTTCTTCTCAGCACCCCATGGAACCTTCTCAAAAATTTTCACATGCTTGGTCACAAAGCAAATCTCCACAGATACAAAAAATTTGGAATAACCTCCTATATCTGACCAGACCACCATGCCTTAAACAACTTCAAAAATTATATAAAGCCTACAATCTCATGGAAACTGAATAATGCCCACCTGAAACAAAAATGAGTCAAGGAAGAAATAAAGAAAAAAATTAAAGATTTCCTAGAATTCAATGAAAATGAAAGTACAGCATACTGAAACTTATGGGACACTATGAAAGCACTGCTAAGAGGAAAATTCATGACTCTAAATGTACACATAAAGAAGATGTTGAAATCCCATTCAATGAATTAACATCACAACTGAAAACTGTAGAACAAAAAGAAACAAACTTACCCAGGAGAAATAGATGTCAGAAAATAATCAAATTGAGGGCTGAAGTCAATGAAATAGAAACCAAGAGAACAATACAAAAAAAATTGATGAAAGAAAGAATTGGTTCTTGGAAAAAATCAACAAGATGGAGAAACCCCTAGCCAAAGTAACCAAAAGGCAAAGAGAGAGCACCCAAATTAACAA